GGGGGGGGCGTATTCAAGCGATTCATTAAAACATGGGCAAGTATTTTGCTTGTAATGCTGAGGAAGATTCTTCATTATATCCCTCGGAGCGTTTCATTCATTCGGAAAGTTGAATTATAGTAACGTATTTGACTTTTTGCGGCATTTTGTAAACAGCGAGGTTGGTCCGTTTAGAAGCTGCAAAGCAGCATGTTCATACGCGTCTGGTGGAAGTGAGACCGCGCTCTTTTTGCATCTGCTGCAGCGACCTGACTTGGGTTTGTTAAGGAGAGAGCAGAGGATTACGGTCAACATGTGTTGCCGTTCGAGAGTCCGGCAATCGGGTGCTCGCGGACTGCAGACTGGCAGTCGATGACGACGCCCTGAAGGGCTCCAAAATTTGCGATTTTCTCAAAAATAGAGTTCTTCCGTCTGACCTGAGCAGCGGTGAAGTTTTATTTATCTAATGGTCGTACACCTGCTTTGATGGCTACAAGGAAGTTCTTTATTTCACTGTATTCCGCATATTCTGTGATATCTCACGCCTTGCAAGTCAACCGATCATTTGACATGGCTTTTCGGCCCCTATTGCACCGGTTTTGGCGTCAAGAGAATGTAGTTCTGTTTTTGTAGTTCCTGTCGTTCATACAAGTCATGTAAAGCGTTTTTTCCAAAGAAGATATGAAGGATCTCTTTGTTATTGCCGTCAAACAAATCTTGGTGGTGTCAGTGGGAGGCGGGTCATAAAGCTACCGCGGTGTCCCCTAGTTCCTGGCATTTGTTCTGAGCATTCGACGCATACCGGTTTAGTTTGCTATCGAGGTTTAGAAGAAGTTCAGTAAATGCGACAGTATTTAACTAACTTCTTGTTTCCTTGTCTTGAGGTGTTGCATACAGTTCGAAATAGCCTCACCTTCGAGACGGCAAGGCGACGAAAGAACATCCCGGACAAAGGCAAAAGAGACTAAGATAACCATTTCCGGTTTATTAACGGTCATCAGCCAACCATTTCCAACGCCGGGGATGCAACACCTGAGACTCCAACTCGTGACCCGTTGACTAGAAGTTCAACGCTCTGACCATTGAGCCGCAGGCTCGTTGTCTTGTCGAGTGCGATCGGGAATGCAAACAATGGTGAATTGAGGCTCACCAATCGGTTGTGGAAAGGTGGCATTCAGTGCGGGGTTTGGCGCCGCAAGTCGCTTTCGTTACCGGTACGCCCTACTGTTCTGCCGCCTGACGAGCACGTATTCCGAGCGAAAGTACATTCAGGTTGTTTC